TTCTTTTGGTTTGTACAATGGGATCAATAGTATATTATGGTAATTGGCGGTTTGGTTTGGTTTTGTTACCAGCAATCAAACTCAGGACCTTGCACTTGCCAGGCAGATGTGGTACTGCTGAGCTATATCCCCAGCCCAGTAATTGGCTAACAGTTCTGACTGCTGAGCTGTATCTGATTTGATACATCAAAAAGTGTTGTTGTTAGTGACATGTCTCTACCTTTCCTTTACCATGTAGGCCACTTAACTGTCTCAGGCCTGGCTAGGCCTAAGTCTTCATACTACGGAACAATATTTGGAGTCAGTGAAACAAATCTTCCTATATAAAGTGAGTGGTACTAAGGTTTTACTCTAAAGAAACCTTGTTAGGAAGACAGCAAAAAAAATTTGAATGTTTGAGGTAAGATTATCAGATCCTGGGGATCAGCATGGCATCCCAGCTATCCTTCATCCCAGCTATCCTTCATGTCCAGTTAAACAAAATTAAACGTAACCCTGAACAACCAGTTGACTTTGTTTGAGGAATTTGACTTTTTTCACAGGAAGTTGCATCTGGGATTGAAAAACTGGAATGCTTAGCAACAGTCTTCCTAGCCACTGAAAACTAGCACATGGACTGTGTATCTGAGTTAATGTCAAGAATGTTCTGACTACAGATACAGCTGTAAAAAGCTGACCCCTATGTTGTTAATGGTTTGAGGCCTCACTGCTTTCTTTGAACCTTACAGATTTGAAAAAGACTGTTATGGCGAGGTGTGTTGGTGCATGCTTGTAATACCAGGACTCAGGAGGTTGAGTCGGGAGGCTGAGGTAGGAGAATCGCCACAAGGCCAGCCTTGGCTACATAGTTCAAGGTCAGTGAGTTTAAGGTGAACTGCATAGTGAGACCTTGTCTCAAAAAACAACCAAAAAAGGAACTGTTACAGAGCAGTCTTTTACTTTGTGTTCTTGCATAGTATTGTATAGTGGAAGTAAAACCAGTATCTTTCTTGCATGTGTGCAGGGCAATTAATTGTACCTCTAACTTACCCAAATCATCTCCCCACAGAACTGATTGGAATAGCCAAGAAAATAGACCTGCTTAATGTGTAATACACATCTGCTATTGGGAAAATTCCCATCAAGATTACTAAAAAGTGACTTGTAATTTTATGTTCTTACTTGAAAGAATGATTATAAAAATCAGTAACTGATAAAGAAGGATACCTAAGACATAAAGGAACTTGGACTTTTGAACCACATCACACCTCAAATGTAATGTTAACCTGGTTTAAGTGAATTCTTTTAAAGATAAGAGCCAGGATTCAGAGAAGTTAAAAGTCTTGAGAATACAAGGGATGCTTGATCTTTTGGGATATATTTACCAGCAAACTGACTGAAAATTGCTCCTTCAGCAAAGTGGGAAAACTACCAACCGCTTTTCCTGCTCTGAAAAGGAAGCGTTTTTGATGTCACTGAAAAGCTGAACGAAAGGATAAAAAGATGAATTTGGTGGGGAGGAGGAACTTAGAAGAAAAGAAACTCTGGGTACTGAAGAGGTACAATCATTCCCATGGCCAAGGTATCCGTATTCTGTAGATTCTAGTTGAACACTAGTAAAGTGAATTGCGACACAGTGTAGTCCTTCTGGCTGCTACAACACAGAATAAGATGTGACAAGTTTTTTTGTTTTTTCTATGTTACTTTTAGTCAAAAAGTACCATCCCAAGGGAGATTTTTAGCAGCTACTGGATCATCAGTAGTGTGAAGTCAGTCCACCAATGATCACATACTGCTTCCATAATTCATCTTTCCCTCAGCCTCCCTGCTCCACCAGCCATAGAGGGCTACAAACTCAAATGCCTTCAGGAACAAGTCATGTAATAAAAGGAGTGAAGCACACTGAGAGAGGACTATTGAATTGGAGGGACTGTCTCACTGTTCAGCTGATTATTGCTTTCAGGAAATATGAGACAATGTTTCCATATTGCCATTTATTTGAGAGAACCTGGAAAATTTGAAACAATGACAGCTACTTTCAGTGTCAAGAGGAAAGAAAACTGTAAGGCCAGTGGGGAACAAAGATGCTAACTTTTGTAGATGATTGGAAACTGAGATGAAAGATAAAAAGATCTATAGATAAAGCATTTCATTCAAGTTGGTAGTTTTTTAAGGGGCCACAGGTTAATCATTCTGAAACTACTATAAGTATAGAAAAGCAGGGAGGGTAACTTTACAGGGACCTACCCGCCTTAGCCAGGTGTTAGGGTTGACATCTGCAGTCTGATCATGAGACTGTGTAGGGGTGGTGGTGCTGACTTGCACAAGCCAGGTAAGTGCACCATCACTAAGCCACACCCCCAACATGTCTTCCTTTCAAAAGCTAAAGAACACATCAGATAAACTCCAAATATAGCAGTGTTCTGATTAGCACCTACCAGTACTCACTCATCAATACTGAAAACAAAGTCACAAACTGATCACAGACCAAAGGAGGTAAAGATGTGACCAAATGTAATATTTTGGATAGGATCCTGGAACCAAAAAATAAAGTTTAACTAATACCTATGTATCCATATTGTTTTATTAGTTGTAATACATCTACCATAATATGAGATGTTAGTGATTAAGATACGGTGTGTGGGGGCTGGGGATTTAGCTCAGCGGCATAAGCGCCTGCCTTGCAAGCAGGCAGTCATGAGTTCGATCCCTGGTACCGATAAAAAAAACGAAAAATACCAAAAAAAAAAAAAGATATGGTGTGTGACATACAAGAACTCTTAGCAACTTTTTGATAAATCTAAACTTTTTACAATCTTATATTTTTACACTTTTATTTAGCATGTTAGCCATTAAACCCATGGTTTTATGAATGCAAAGTATGTGCTTTACTGGAGCTACACTTCCAGTCCTGTTTTTTTTTTTTTTTTTTTTAATCTACAATGGCTACTTAATATGAAAAGCTGTCTAACCTTGGCTCATAGTGAGAAATACACTGAAATACTGTTTCTCGCCTGTCAAGCTAACAGAAGTCCAAACAGCTGACAGTATATCCTGTTGGTGAGGCTGTAGGGAAATAGGACACTCTTCCATATTTATGGAGTTTTTACTACTACCTAGTAAAAATGACATTTTTTTGGCCCAGAGTCCCAATTTTTAGGGCTATATCCCAAAGATAATTGACAAAAATATAAAAAGACTCAAAGTACGTACAATGCTGGAAATTAATGATGGAAACTCAAAATACCCATTCAGTAGATACTTAGAAACCTGAATACAAGTGAACCTGTAGAATCCAGAGTCTACATCTAAGCAATAGTTTAGAGGAAATAGAAGAAACAGAATGTTAACAGAGAAGCAATATAAAACTCCAATTGTCTTAAAATTTTAAACTCTTGAGTTTCTGGTAAAAATTCATTTCTTCACGGTAGTCCTGGCTCTTATCTTTGTTAAGACAATTCACTTAAACTAGGTCAACATTAAAAAGAATATTAAATGTGAGGTGTGATGTGGTTCAAAAGCCCAAGTTCCTTTATGTCTTAGGTACCATTCTTTATTGGTTATTGCATTTTATAATCATTCTTTCAAATAAGAACATAAAATTACAAGTCACTTTTTAGTAATCTTGATGGGAATTTTTCTTGGGGTGTAGCTCAATGCTAGACATTCTCAAGCTGGGTGTGATGGTACATACCTATAATCCCAGCATTCAGGAGGGAGGTTGAGGCAGGAAGATCACTGAATTTGAGGCTAGCCTGGGCTACATAGTGAGATCCTGCCTCAAAAAACAAATTCTGAATTTCAGTTCCTACTTAACACAGATTTGTTTGGTTTTTTTTGAGGGTCTTGCTGTGTGTTCTAGGCTGGCCTCAAACTGATGATGTAGCCCAGGCTGGCATCAAAACTCACAGTAATCCTGCCTCAGCCTCCTTCACACAAAAAGTTAATCTCTTCACATGAGGTGTGGTAGTGACTAGTTCTGTTTTTAAGAGTATTGTTTTGCCTTGAGAGTGCCTTGCTAACATGTGTGAAACCCTTGGTTAGATCTAGTCCACAGCACCACAAAATTTTTTTTTAAAAAAAGAAAGTCATTGTCTTTTAAAGATATGTGCTTAATATTTAAAATGTTATTTCTAGGATTTGCTTTAAAATAATACTGAGGAGGGTGTGGCATAGATAGTTGTTTAGATGAGAAAGATGGACCATGAACTGCTACATGGGGATTTCATACCATTTTGGCCTTTGTTTTTTTTTTTTTTTTTAATTTGTTTTTGAGACAGGGTCTCTTCAGGCTGGCCTTGAACTCACTTTGTAGCCCAGCTAGTCTTGAACTTGCAAGAATCCTCTTGCCTTAACCTCCCAAATGTTAGGATTATAGGCATGTGCCACCATGGTTGGCCATTTTTCCCTATTTTTGCATATGTTTAAAATTTTATGTAAGGGCCAAGAATGAGGTCCTTAGTTTGATTCCCAGTCCCCCCCCCAAAATAAAATTTTATATAGAAAAGACAGCTGGTATAGTGGCACATGCCTGTAATCCCAGCACTCAGGAGGCCAAAGCAGGATCACAGAGGGCAACTTAGGCTACATAGGGAGTTCTAGGCCAACCTGAATTATGTAGCAACAATCTGTCTCATAAAAACAAATAAAATAAAACTACAATAAGTTTTTCAAGCCAGAAAACTACACCTGTGAGCCTGAGTCAAATAATGAGCTACGAATTTGCATGTAGTATCTTAATAGCATATAAAAATGAAGATAACAGATTATAATGATCCCAAACAATTGAAAATCTAGGCAGGTTTTCAGACTGCACATTTAAAATTCCACAACATTGCCTCAGCCATCTTCCTTCTGGCAGCAAAGCAGCCAGGTAAGTTTTGGTGAAGGCCCAGCAGACTCAGTAGCTAGAAGTCAGTAACCCCATGTAGTTGCCGAGCCAGAGGACTGGCACCTGTGAGAGGCTAAAAGAACAGCACAGAGACCACAGATACCAGGGAAAGTAAAGAATCAGCCAACTCTGTTTTTTAACTTTTTTAATCCAAAAATACATAAATTCTACTCTTTACTCCCAGCTTTTTTTTTTTTTTTTTTTTTTTTTTTTTGTGAAACTGGGAATTGAACTCAAGACCTTTTGCTTGCCAAGCTGGCGCCATTCCACTGAGCTGTATCCTCAGTTCTACCCCCAGATTCTTATAAACTGGGGAGGCAGCACGTAGCTGCCAGCCTTAAGTGACGTCTAAAGGCTTAATTCGTCTCAGGATTAAGAAAGATGGGGAAGTGAGGCTCAAATAAGGGAACATCCAAATCAGGCCCATGCTCTGCAGAGACTGCAGGAGGACCTGGCCCTCAACTCTTCTCAGACTCTTTTTGCCACAGCAAATGATCAACCACAAGAATGGGGCAACCTGCCCTGCTCTCTAGTTGGGGACATTCCTTCTCTGCTCAGGGGCCGCTTGCTGGGTTTCTCCAGGGGGGGCCAGAAAGAGCACAGGAGAGGCAGGCCTAGGAAGCCATCCCTGAAAGTAAATCTCTGCAGGGAGAATGGCTGCACAAGTGTCTTCTTTATCTCTGTCCTAACTCCACTTCAAGGAGACCCAGTGGTTAGACTCTGCAGCCAGCCAGACCTGCTGGAGCTACCACATTGTCTTATTAGTCTACACAGCCACTACCTACAGCCCTGCTACTGCATGCCAACAGGGTGCATGGGCCAGGGCCCCTGGCCAGTACCCAGACCCACCATGGGAGTGGCGTGGGCCACAGACTGCAGCTGCTGGGCCTGCCAGATGTGATGGAGCTCTTTAAACTGCTCTACCATGCGATCTTTCAGGTCTGGGTTTGAGATCTGCAGCCGGATGCTGTCAGCTGACCAAGAAAGCTCCCCAGAGAACATCTCCAGAAGCAACCGGGCTGCAACAGGCACCACCTGGGGGCAGAGATAGGACAGGGAGAGCCATGGCAGGGCTGCCAGCTGTGCATAATGGCTTCCACCAGGGGCATGTGGTAGATGCCTCTCCTCCAGAGCCCTGATCTTGACCATCTCTGGCATCCAGGTTCATACTCCCCACCAAAACCCAGCTACATCTCCCAATATTCAAGCCAACGTGGGTTGGAGTTGGGGGCACATACCTGGACAGTAATGAGCTTCTTTTCTCGGGGTTTCTGGTCAGGCCACTCCTCCCCGAAGCAGAAGAAGATCTCAATGGGTGGTGGGGTGTCGGTGCGGCCCTTCTGGAACAGGATGAGGTCTGCATCAAGATAAAGTCCCTGGTCAGAGGTTAGAACCATGCCCTGGGTGAGAAGTGGCCATGAGGAACACAGCATGGGCCTCACCATTGAGAAACTGCTCAAGGCTGAAGAGCTTGGTCTTGACTTCCCGCTGGATGGGGTTGGGGCTTGAGCCATGAGTGGAGGCACAGGGCCCACTCCAGAATACCTTGCACTGGCACAGGCGGATAGCATACAGATCCTGGCCCTGCAGCTGGAGGATAAGCCCACGGTCCAAGACATCCAGCAGCTGGTTCGTATAAAAGCGCTGCTTCTCGCTGGGGATCTCCTCAGGGCTGGGGAAGCGAACTTGTTCCAGGCTCACAGGGCCAAAGAGTTCCACCTGCTCCTGGGTGGCCTCCAGCTGGCTGTAGAAGATCCGGCAGCCTTGTGGATTGCTGATGGTGAGGGCATGGGGTGGCCGCCCCCGGTACTGGAACTTGATCTCCAGGTCAGTCACTGTGGGGCAGAGGGGTCAGCCACCTAGCCATGAGCCCACATCCGCATCCAGCAGCCAGGTGGTAGGCCCAGCCTCCTCAGCCCTCCCACTTCCTTCCCCACAGGGTGCTGGAGCAGGCAGAACATACACGTACTTTCATTCCCTCCTCTGCCAGCCTCTGCTGTCATTAAAGACCCTGCCCCAACCCCCTGTATTGTTTTACCCTGCCCAACCCTCCCAGCCCACGGTAGGGCCTTACGAGGCAGCATGTGGGGGCTGATAAGCAGATCAGGCAATAGCTGTTCATTTGCAGTGGGCAGGGCTTGAGCCAGGGGCTCTGGACTGGGCAGGACCTCAGGGAGACGCTGCCCAAAGCCAGCAGGGTTGCCAGATGCAGCAACCAGAAGGCTGGAGTCTAAGGTAGGGGGCCCCACAGGCGGTGGTAGAACTGGTGGCCACTTGACATCTTCTTTAGGTAGATAGGGTGCCATGGAGGGACCAGGCTGTACTGCTTCTACACAGGGTGAAATAGAATTGTTAATGCCACCTCTAGGAACTGTCTCAAAGGCCCAATTCCCAGACCTGCCTGCCTTCAGCCCCAACCTAGTACCTATGGTATCTGTGGCTTCTCCATAGGCAAAACCCCCAGCCACACCTCCTCCCAGCCCTACCTGTGAGGCTCAGGCCTGGTAACATCTTCTGGAGCTGAAGAGCAAAGGAGGAGGGAAAAAGGCAGAGACAGAAGGAAGAACAGATTAGTAAACTGATGTGACACAGGGAAGTGCTTCAGTGGCACAGCTTGGCCAGACCCTGGGAGGAACAGGTCCTTCAGAACCCAAGAGGACGCTCTAGAGACTGCTCCATCCCAAAGCAGGCGCACCTCACTAAACCCTGACCCCGACCGCTCCCCTTCCCACACACACCTCCTCTTCCTCCTCCTCCTCCTCCTCTCCTGGAGCCACAGTGTAATCCTCCTCGGTAGGCTGGGACTCTGCAGCAAGCAAGAGAAGAGGACAGGAAGGAGTCAGTGGTAGAGCAGGTGCCAAGCCAGCCTGGGGCTCCATCTGGGCAGCCGCTCAGACACAGTGAGGGGAAGGGTGCTGCCACTATAAGGACCTCCTAGAAGCCAAGAGCCCAGCATGAGGGAAGCAGAGAGGAATATGTATCAGGGTCCCTGACCCCATTCTAAGCTGTTTCTGGGAGCCCTGGGCCACTGCATGCAGGGCTTGCAGGGCTTCCTGGCTGCACAGCTTCCCAGTGGCCCACATAGGACCAGGAAGGATACCTGTGGGAGTAGGGCCATTGGAGCAGACCTCGTAGATCTTGTAGGGCTGAGGTGGCATATCCCGGGGCCCATCATAGATGAGGCGGAAGTCTCGGCTCTTATTGAGGGCACAGCGTAGGTTGGCCTTCCACTTGGCAGGATCAGCCTCATCTACTCCCTCGGTGTACTTTCCCGTCTCCTTGGCCCAGGCCTGGGTAAGAAGGACAGTTGACCACAGAGAACCTTGACCCTCACCAAAGCTCTAGCCTGCCTCATGTCCTGTGGGAAAGACTTTCAGCCACTGGCTGAGACCACCTAGGTGAGGGCCTCATGTGCAACAGGTATCTAGGGCCTGGCCCTTCTCCAGGGGTTCCTAAAGCTCAATGAAATCTAGTCATTGAAGGGCATCTGCATTCACTGCTCCAGGAAGGGCAAATGAGTCCAGTCTAAGGTGGACAGCACAGCAGGGTGGAACCAGTCTTGCAAACTCAGGGTCTTGTGCTTACTAAGCATTTGCTCTACTAGCTGAGCTTAAGAGTTTCAGTGTTAAAAAAATTGCCACAGATGCTTAACTTCTACCCTTTAATCATCTTAAATCTTTCTTTTGGACATCTTTTTTTTAATTAATTTATTTTCTTTTGGACATCTTACATGACTTATTTAGGGCTAGTTCCTAGAGTTAAAAATTGCAGAGACTCCCATCAGGAGGTAAATGTTTCCATGCTTTAACCTAGCAATTTGATGTCTATAGAATCATACATGCAGAATCTAAAGGCATCCACACAAAACTGTACAAAGAAGGTTACTCACTGCAATGTCATCTGTAAAAGCAAAAGATCATAATATGTCATGTCCATCATGAGGGCTGGTTAAATTATGATCAACTCACAAGGATAAGCTAGGGGAAGGTTCTTTTATATGCTCTTCAAGAAATATGAAGTGCAGGGATGGGGATATAGCTCAGCAGTGCAGGCCCTGGCTGGCAAGAGTGAGGTTCTGAGTTTGATTCCCAGTACCAAAAAAAAAAAAGGAAGGAAGAAATATGAAGTACAAAGACCATTTTCTGAAAAAGTAGAGCTGAGCATGGTGGTACATGCCTATAATCCCAGCACTCCAAAGGCTGAGGCAGGAGGAATGCCTTGAGTTTGAGACCAGCCAGTGATACATAGTGAGTTCAAAGCTACATAATAAAAACCTGTCTCAAAAGTGGGGGGGAGGGGGAGATGGCTGGGTCTCACTGTGTATAGCCCAGGCTGGCCTTGAACTCACAGTGATCCTCCTGCCTCAGCCTCCTGAGAGCTGGGATTACGGGTGTGTGCCATAACACCTAGCTAGGGATACAAGATAGTAAAGGTGACTTGTGGCTAGGCCTGTGTCCCCTTAGTCTAGGCCTGGCATCACCTGAGCAAGCTAGCTGGTAAACAGATTGGCCTTGAGAAGAGTGGGTATGTCCCTTTCCTGGGGGAGGGGGTGCCTCTGAGGCCCAGGCAGCGCCTATCCAGGGCTTACCTTGAAGATGGTGTTGTCTCCATCCTGGCTAGGGCCATGCCTCGTAGCATGGCGCCAGGGGATGTAGAAGAATTTCCTTTCCCCGTTGACCCACTGAAGCCCTGGGTACTGGCAGCTGTTCACCTGGGCCACCAGCCAGGGCTTCAGCCGCACACGGCGGGGCTGAGGGGGAGCTCTGGGGGGCGGTTGGTTCATGGCAAAGGGCTCTGTAGGGAAAGCCAGGGCATAAGCTCAGCAAATTGGCAGCTAAACACTCCCTGACCCAGAGACAGGCCCACCCAGGTATTCAAGGAAAGTTCTCCTTTCTAACCCTTAGCTTTCAAGTCACCGAGGCTGTGCTTGGTGTTGGGTGGCAGGAAAGGAAATGGAAAGGGAAGAGATCTCAGCACTAGTGGATGATTACACGCCCAACTCCCCCCACCCCAAGCCCTGCACCAGGCTGGGGCATCCTTTCCCCAGATGCTAACAGCACCAGCTGCTGCTGTGCCAGAGAACTGCTTTCAGCTGCCTCGCTTTGAAGCTTAGGCCACACCTTACTCTAGAGGGACAGCAACTGCAGGGGACAAAAGCGCTTGCTGCAAGGTGGGTTAATAGCTATAACCAGTGCATCTTAGGATCAGCCTGACCCATCCCAACCCTGCTCAGCTTTTCCTTCTCTCTGTTCTTCTTGCCCTCCTTCCCCCTAAAAATCCCCCCCCCAACAAATTCTCTGCACAGGAATCCTACTGCTGGTTTCTAGGAAACAAAAGCAGACCATGAGAAGGGCGTCTTGGACTCAGTGCTGAGAGCTGCTGTGTTTTCTCAGCTTCCCTCAGGGATGAAGCCCCTACTCCTTAGACAAATCCCATCAACCCACTCAACCTGCCTCTGGCAAGGACAACTGCCACAAGGTCTCACCCCCGTGAAGTTATCAGTGCCTTATTTCTTGTCCCTGCCCTTTCTCCTACTGGACATACTCTTTCAGCACTTAGCTGTTTTCCCATTTGGGTTGGGTTTGTGGGGGCAAGGTGTTTTTAAAATTGTTTTTGTTTTGAGACAAGGTCTGTGTAGTTTAGACTGGTCCTGAATTTGCTATGCAGCCCATCCTGGGCTAGAATTCAAAAAGATCTTCCTGCCTCAGCCTCTTGAGTGCTAGGATTACAGGTATAAGCCAGCTTCGTTCAGTACCTAGAAACCCCTGATGTTTGTGGGCCTGTAACAGCTATAGGAAGCACAGCTCCCCAGGGGGGCATGAGCCCCTCCCCAGGCCACAATCTCTGCCTCACTCAAGTCAGGACAGCAGGACCCATGAGACCATTTGGGCTCCACCTCACCTGCCACCCACTCTCTATTACCAGAACTTGAAAATTCTGTCTTGAGCCCCTCCTGTCCCTCTCCACCCCTAGGCAGTTTCTTTCCTTCTCTTGCCTATGGACCCTTGGTCCTTTACTGGATGAGCCTAGGAAGGGTAAGCGATCATACCACTTGGTCCTCGGAAATTAATCTGTTGCTCAGTGAGTAAGGAACAAAGGATAGAGCTGGCCTACTTGGTCCTAGTAGCACAGAACTGAAGTTCCCTACCAGTACCTTTTTGGGTTGTGGCTGTCAAAATGTCCAGAGCAGCGTGGAGCTCAGTCATGAAGAGTAAAGCCCGCCCCAGCCAGGGAGGGTGGTAAGACTCCAGCCCTGCCCCCCCCCCCAAGGCTGTGGCTCAGTTCCTCTTTCTACACTAGCCTCCACCCAGCCCCAGGGGAAATGAAAGTGGACAACTCAGAAACCTGACTCACTGTGTGCTGAGGGAGGGAGGGGGCTGACCAAGAAGATTCATAAATGGATCCCTAAAGCCAAGTTGCCAGGCCCCCAGCCCAGCCCATTCCATCTGCGGCCAGGTCTTCCCCTAGGCAGGGTGAGGCTCCAACTCCATCGTGCTTTCCAGAGGCAGGCTTAGATTGGTTTCTGTCCATCCTAATGCCTATGCAGTCTTAATTTCCAGTGCCTAAACATGCCTGTCTTTAAATTCATGAACCCCCAGACCTAGCTTTGTGGATCTGAGAAACCTGGAAAAAGGGACCATCACTTGCTACAGAAATGTCAGAAGGGGTGCGGGGTGCGGAGGATCTGAAGAGGCCTCCGTAAGTGGATCAGGCAGTGAAGCATCCGAGGGTGGCAGTCCTGGAGCCCTGCTGGGGTGGTGAACTCCAAAGTCATACCAGGGCCCTTAAGTCCCAGGAGAGGCCTCCAGAGCACACTACATCGTGACATGAGGAACACTGGGCAGAACCTGCGGCCTCCCGAGTTGTCTGGGTCAGCGGGTCTCCCTGGAAACCCCACACCCAGCGTGGGGAGACAGCAAGGGATACCCTGCAGCAAGCATCACCCTAAATCCCGCCCTCTCCAGGTGACCGACGAGGAGGGCACACCCTGGGCCCTGCCTCCACGATGCGCAGACAGGCTGAGCCTCCGGAGCGGCAGGTGCGGCAGGAAGAAGCCTCTCGGCTTCCTCCCCGGTGAAGGGTGGGGAAGGCTAGGGTGCAAGGGAAAACCCCAAAACAGGGCCTTTAGGTCAAAAGGGGTAATTTCCCACCGCTTCAAAACGTCTAGCTGGGAGCCGCTCTGTCCCGGCGCCGCAGGCGGAGCGCCAAGAGGCGACCCACTGCAGGCCAGCGTTCAGCTTAAGCTTCCTGCACCCGCCCAGCCCGCGTCCCTTCTGGTTGTGTTCACGCATCCCAACTGTGGAACCCAGGCCAAACCCGACGTCCCCAGCTGCCCCGCAGGCTAAGACCGGACCCGGCTACACAGCCTCTCGCCTGCGCAGTCACCACGCCAGAACCCGGACCGCTCCTTCGGCTGGGGTGCCCCCCGCCCTTTGACCCGCCCGCCACTAGCTGAGTCCAGGAAAGTTCCCACTCCCGCCCGCGCCCCGTGTGACAACTGCGCGCGCTCTGGAGCGTCCCCCCGCCCCAACAGGCAGAGTCTCACTTCTCCGCCTTGAGACTTTTCGCTATTTCCTTCTTCAGTCCGGGGATGCACTGCAAGGAAGTGATCGCGCCCCCATTCTTCCCTGCTGTCTGGAGGGCCCGCGTAGCCCTTTTCGACCACGAGTCAAAGCACGGCTCCTCTGCCTGGCACCGCCTTCCCCCCAAAACTCTCCCAGCACATTCCTGACACTAGCGTTAAATCCTAGGAAGGCTACTGCTTGAAACCTCAACCTCCCCCCGAAAGAGTTGGGGGCGAGGAGTGCGCTGACGGAGAGGGGTGTCGGGGTCTTGCTCTGCGTTCGCCCCAATTTTGGTAGCCCCAACTTTGACCTCGGCGCCGTTCGCCATCCTCGGCCACGGCAGTCAGAAGCCGGGCGAGAAGCCGCGGAGTCCGCACCCGTACCGCGGTGCCCACGCCGCCGCTCCGGGCTCGGGGCTTCTACCGGGCACGGCACCCCACGCCGATCCAGCCTTGGAAGGCGCCTTAGGGCGCTGAGGCCGGCGAGGCGCGCTCCGTGACAGCGTCCACCCGCGGCCCGGGACCGCGGGGCGCCGGGCACGGCGGAGGCAGGGGAAGCGAGCTGGCTACGCGCCGGGACCCTCGGGGTGCGAGCGAGGGCGCGGGGCGCGGGGCGCGGGGCGCGGCCGCCCGACCTACCTGTGCGCGGGAGCGCGGGTCGGCGCGGGGCGAACTGCGCGCTCCCGGAGCGGCGCCTCCACGATGGCCGCGCCGCGCACTTCCGCGTCGCGCCGCCCCCGCCCTCGCCCCCGCCCCCGGCCGCGCCGCCGCCGCCGCCACAGCGCTTCGGTGCTCGGGCCGCGCCCTCCCGCCCGCCGCGCCACCCGCGCCCCGCACGGCTCGGCCCCGCGGACCCGCGCTTTAGGGAGACGCCGGGCGGCGCGCAGCGGCGCACCGACTGCGGGTCGACAAAAGAACCTGAACCGCAAGAGGGCATGGAAGGCAGGTCCCCACCCCTGCCGCGCTCAGGGCGCCCAGGGCCGCGCCTCAGCGAGCCACACAGCCGGCCCGCCGCAGTCCCCGCCGCCTCCTGCCGCGCGAACTCCTGCCAACACCCCGCACTGCACCTGCGCCGGCCCTGCCGCCCTGACTGTCCCCCTGGCTCAGCGCGTGGTCGCAGCGCCCCCTTTCTCCAGGACCTCCTCTCCATTTGCTTGCCACTCCAAATGGGTTTCAGTTCTACAAAAAGCCTCCCCACTAGCCTTAAGCTTCACACATTTGTTCCTTCTGGAAGGTTCCCCGCTATGTGACTCCTGCTCTCCAGATTCCCGTGGCAGCGACACCTCTGGGAAGGAGTCACCTTGCCGGCCCTGTGATGCGGACCAAGGCAGCACAGACCTCCTTCACAATCTTAATATCTGATGACGACTCAAATCAGCTTAATCAACAACCATTCCTGTCTTGATTATTCATTTTCTATGGCCATTTTTATTGTTATTTTTATTTACTTGATGCAAGGAATAGAATCCAGAACCTTAGAGCCAAAAGGTGAAGCAAACATCAAAACAAAACAAAACAACCCAGGGCCTTGCACAATGTTCTTCTATTGAATAAACCCCAAGCCTTTACCCACAGTAGTAATTTAATTGCCCTCAGTAGTAATTTTTATTCAAAGGTTGGGTTTTGTTTTTGTTTTTGTTTTTGTTTTTGAGAAGGGAGCTCTGGTTTGTCTTGAACTCCTGGCCTCCACAGTAGCTAGAATGACAGGGCCATGCCATCAGCCCAGTTCAGTCAAACATATTATTAATGTAGAAAAGCTCAAAGTTGTAAGCCCTAAATAAAATGTATAAATTCTACATAATATTAAAGTCCTTAGAATTTAGAGCCTTGCATTTTTAACAAATATAGCAGTATTAGTGAATCAGAATTTTAAACTCCCCATCTCTCCAGGAATACCTGGGGTTGGTCTTTCATGGCAAAAGATGCCTTTGTTGCATTTGTACTTTTCTGTATTTCTATTCTTCTCCCCTGCAACTATGTAACTCTAATATTAAATGGAAATCAGTATATATATATATATATATATATATATATATATATATATTGTTTGTAGGTACTGAGCACTTCACTATTCCACATTTTTAAAATTTTAAGTGAAGAGCCAGGAGTGATGAGGCACCTCTGATAATCCTAGCACTTGGGAGGCTGAGGCAGGAGGATGGAAAATTCAAGGCCAATCTGAGCTACACAATGAGACCCTGTTTCATCAGGAAAAAAAAACAAACCAACCATAAATACCCTTTTAAAAAAGAATTCATTCTTTCAAATCAAAATTGCTCCCCCCGCCCCAGGTTCTAGAGCCTGGCTTATGCTAGGCAAGCACTTTATTACTGAGCTACATCCCACCCTAACTGCTATTTCATTGAAAATGGTCACTTTCAAAAAAAGAAAGAAAGAAAGAAAGAAAATGGTCATTCTCAAATTAAGAACCTTCTTCACTGGGGATCATTTATGCTTAATAGAAAAATATCCTATGTTGGTCCAGAAAAGATACCCAGAGCGATAGCCACAGCCATGAGCAGCCTATCTTGTCAACCCTGTCACACACTCACACTCTGCGAGACCATGAGGCCAGCTCCCCTCCCACTGTCTGCTAGGCCCAAGTGAGGCCAACCCTTAGGGTCTCTAAACTCCAAGAACCAGCAGAGCTGGGGTGCAGGGGGGACTTGGACTTGCTCCAGCTCTGGACTCAGCTTGCACAACTTTAGGCAGACCCTGTGCTCCCAGTCCCTTGTCCCTAAAAGGGAGATGACATTACTGGGCTCCCAGTATCCCCATGGGACTCTGGGCCTATGCAGGAGCTGGGCAAGGACTCTTCACTGTTCAGTTCCTGCCTTCCCTGGTTGGGGAGATTCTGAATCAAGAACCACCCCAGGCCAGAGACACAGCAGGAGGAAGGCAGGGCTTGGGAGAGAATGCACTTTTCCAAGAAGCGTCCCCTGCTGTCCTTTCCTGTGGGTGGCAGAGGCAGCAAAGGGGAAGTGAGGCTCTGCCTGGCCCCCTTGTAAGCAGTCTCACTTCCCCCTAGCAGGGAGGCGGGGGCCGTGGGGAACAGGAGGCTTGGCCTGCACAGCCCCAGAGGCCCCCTGCAGCCAGTGTCTGGGCGCCTTCCTCCCGGTTGTGGGCCCCCCTGCCCTGGGTGCTATCAGAGGCCCCCTCCCCTGCGTGGGAGAAGTCAGCAGGTACAAGGAGAGGCACCAAGGAGCAGCGGAAGCCTGTCAGGGAAGGAACTGAAAGAAACCCAGTGTGAGTGGCAGGCAGGGCAGGAGGACAGAAGCCCACGGACAGCTGAGGAGAAAGACCCGCTCATGCACCCCTGCCGCCCCAGCACTGTAGACCGGCAGAGGAGTATGATGGCTGCTCTTGCTGATTCCATCTAGGAAACCCACTTCCTCAGGCCTGCATCTTGGGAATCCCCAGGCTGGCCTCTTTGTGGCACCTGAGTTTCTGAGAACTTACCCGCTGGACATCAGGCTCCCCATCCAACAGGACTCTACTACTCAGGGCCGTGAGACTCCAGCAAAGCTCCGTTCCCCTTCTGTAAAGTGAGAATCGCACCATCCCTGTCATAGGTGTCATGAGTTCACAGACACTTGCACCTTGTACTTGATGGGGTGAAGTGCTAAGTAGACCCATTTGTCCTAAACCCCCTGACCTCAAGCCAAAAATCCTTTCTTTTTGGCGCTGGGGATTTAGCTCAGTGGCATAAGCACCTGCCTTGCAAGCAGGCGGTCATGAGTTCAATCCCCGGTACCGATAAAAAGGAAAAAGACAAAAAAAAAAAAAAAAAATCCTTTCTTTTCTTTCTCTTTTCTTCAATATTCCAATTGAATCCAATCTCTTCTCGATGAATTTAATCCCCAGACCTGTTTGTTTGTTGGGAGGATTGTTTGCTTTTTTTTTTTTTTTTTTTGGTCTTTTTCCTTTTTATCAATACCAGGGATCGAACTCACGACCGCCTGCTTGCAAGGCAGGTACTTATGCCGCTGAGCTAAATCCCCAGCCCCTGTTTGCTTTATTTTTTGAGAAAAGGTCTCACTAAGTCACTGAGTTGCCCAGGCTGGGCTAAAACACGTGATGATCCTGCCTCAGCCTCCCAGAGAGCTGGGTTACAGGGTTGGGCACTACACTCAGCACTGTAGATTCTGAACACAATTGTGTAGATCTTGTAGAGCATCACACCGGCTGTGGCTTTGCTCGAGACCATAGTCCCTGGAGGGTTCAGAACAGAGGCAGGATGGAATCTGATGTGGGTTTTACCATGACTGCCCTGGCTCTTTGTAACCGCATCCTGTGGTTTCTAGTAGCTTTATGATCAATGCCCAGGACACCAAAGCTGAGGCTTCCTTTCTGTTTCTTGCTAACTGCCACCTCCTCAGACCTCTGTGGGGTATGACCTGGAAGTCCCCCACTTGGTCATCACTGTCACATGGACACTTCGACACTTCAGGTCTCCTCTCCACTTATTTTTGGCGGGACTAGTGATCCAGCCCAGGGCCTCTGCAAGCCAGGCAAGTTCTGTACCCCTGAGCTATAGCTGTGTCCCAGGACCCGGGCTTGGCCGACTCACATCCCTGTCTTTTTCCAGGGCCTGAGGTCTCCGACCTTGAGGGCTTGTTTGGAGGTTCCAGCAGGGAAGTGAGTCTACTCACATTTCCTTGACCCAGGAAATGGTCCTCCTCCACTGAGCAGCAGCTGTGGGAGGGATGGATGTACATGGAGCGGTGAGGAAGGGGATACCCACTTGGCCAGATCAGCTGAATCAACCCTGGCGATCAGTGGGGTGCCACTTGTCACATGCAGGTCACCCTCACATCCAGCCTGAGTCTGCGAAGCTGCCAAATGCCCTCGTTCACCCAGGCCCTGGCTCCTTCTCCCGTTGCCCCATGAAGGGTGGTGACACTGCTTCCCTTTTCTTTACTGCTTCCCTGCTCTCCACGGTGCCTCTGGCTCCAACCCTTTGCCTGGACTCTGTTCTGGCTTCACTCCTCCTTCCAGGCCATGGACCCATAGAACCCCCTACACTCCAGTCCTTCTGTACCAGCCCCCAGCTTTTCATTTAAAGGCTTCGATCCCGGCCGTTCGCTATTGCCTGGGCCTCTCCAGTCTCCTGTTAATGCTGTGGTGGAGCCCCTCACTTTCCTGGCCAGCCCTCCCAGCCAGTACTAGATGTCCACCCAGGTACCACCCACTCCATCTGTTCAAGCCTCCTGCAGGCTGCTGAGCTCAGCATCCCTGTACTGGGGGGTGCTGGGCCCCCCCCCTTGCCTGCTGAGAGGACTTGTTGAGCATGCAGTGCCTGGATGAGGAGGAAGATGTACGCTGGGAGCTCCGCTGCAAACCTCAGTGTCCAGGGCTCCTGCAGCCAAATAATCCAGTCCTGTGTTGATGGCACAGAGGTCAATCCGGCCCTGCAGATGCTCACTGGTGATCTCCTTTTGTTCCAAGAGGAAGCTGGGTGAAGCTCAGTCTGCAAATGTCCTCATCAGGGAGAGGTGTCTCACCCAGGTGTATGACAATCACTCATCGTCAGTGT